ACCGTCGCCGCGTCGTGAACACTAAAATGTAAACTTTAGGTAGGTACGTCGGTAATAAGAAAACAGTCTTGATAAAAACATGTGCTTACATTTAGTGATATTGAAGTATATATAAAAAAGTAAGAAGACAGGCAAGTGAGTATTTTTGAAAACAATTTATAGGTAGGCAGAAATAATTACAATTATTATCTAAATATGTATTATAAATGCGAAAGTTTGGATGTTTGGATGGATGGATGGATATATGTTACTCAATCACGCCAGAACGGCTGAAGGGATCTGGTTATAGGGCGGTATGTATGTGTGCATCGTGTTCATATAACTTGGTTTTTGTTGAAAGACGTGCGTGAAGACTAGCGTCTAACGGCTCATCACTGATACACTCTCTGTCGCGCACGATGCCAGGTGAGATAGCGTGCTTTTTGGCCACGCCCACGAGTGAGTTCGAGCCCGCAACTTGTGCCACCTTAAAGTCATATTATGATACATGTTTGCATTATTATCCATACAATAAGACTCTATTATGTAATGATCACGAATTTATCTTACATCTTTGTCTTTTAAAAAGGACACAGATGATTAAATTTATGTTATTATCGGTATACCTATCTTAAAGTTTTGATTGTCTTTCAGACTTATAATGCTAAAAATACAGCCCATATAAACGCCCACTGCGTGACATATACCTCTAATTTCTAAGAGCAATTGATCCGCCGCTGTGCCCCAGTGCGTGTTTGCGGACTTCACTTACCTGAATGAAACGAAATGAAATGAAGATTTATTTGCTTTGAAAAAGGGGTACATTTAAGTGGTTATTATGAGTAGTTCAGCTTTTTCAGCCATCTATAATAGCATGCAAATACATTTATATAATTAAATTTATTATATTACAATATAAATTTCAATTAAAATATTTATCGTCATGTCATTGTTTACAAATTAGCAATACCCATACATACAAATTTAAACATAGACTTAGAATATACTGTATATTCTAAGTCTATGAATTTAAATATAATTAGGATTAAAATTTAATTAAAAATATATATTTACTGTTATGTCACATCATGTCATCAGGTAGTCATTCACATTATAAAAATAATGTTCATTCAGCCATCTGTAAAAGGCGCTTTCAAATCTATTAAAGGGTAAGTCTTTTATAATGTTGGGGTATTTTATTGAATATGAGAATACACATCCAGTAGCAGTTTTTTTTTTAAATCGAGCATTCTTGGGTATAATTTCAGCAGCAAGTTTATTGCCATTTCTGGTATTTCGTGTATAAATCTCTTTCGCTTGTCTGAAATAATACATGTTTTGTTTTACAAACTTTGCAATTTCAAAAAAGTACAGGCATGGGAGGGATAGTATTTTCAGAGATATAAATAACGGCCTGCAAAGCTCATCAGGTGCAGTGCCACATATTGCTCTAATACATTTTTTTTTTGGGCAATGAATGCCTTTTTTGCATCTGTGCTATTACCCCCTATAATGAGTCCGTATCGCAAAACGGATTCCACATACGCAAAGTACGCAGTAAGTGCTGTATTTTTTGTGGCTACTTTACATAGTTTGTAAAGTGCGTAGGAAAATCTATTAATTTTTTTACAAACTTGACTTTTCCAACTTAGTTTTTGATTTATCCATATACATAGGTTGCACTAAAAGTATCGGAAACGGAATATTTCCACTGTTCCATCATATTAAAATATCATATTAAAATCGTTTTAATTGAAAAAACCTTGGTTTTAAAAATCGAATACCATTTATTTATTTAAAAAAAGATTCTCGGTCTTGTCACAGGGTTTTATCAAACTTGTTTAGTCGTTGAGAAAATGGAATTGACTCGATAAAATTCAAGAGCGATGATTTATTATGACTTTCGAAGTGGTTTAACACAAAAACAGTGTGTTGACCGGATGATTTCTGCATTTGGTGATGAAGCTCCATCCAAAACCACAATTTATCGCTGGTTTGCTGAATTTCAACGTGGACATGTCAAGCTCAGTGATGATCCCCGTCAAGGTCGCCCAAAAACTGCAGTCACCCAAGAAAACGTTGATGCTGTGCGTAAGCTGATTGAGGAAGATCGACATGTGACATACCGCGAAATTCAAGCAACTTTAGACATTGGCATGAGTCAAATACAAATAATCTTGCATGAACAATTAGGTGTAAAAAAGTTGTTTTCTCGATGGATACCGCATTCACTCTGTGAAGAGCAAAAAGCGGCTTGCGTTACTTGGTGCGTCAGAACTCTCGAAATATTCCACGCAGGTTCCTCAAATGCTGTACACAACATCGTATTAGGTGACGAATGGATATATGCATATATGCCTGGATATATGCGTACGAACCTGAAACAAAAAACCAGTCACGAGTTTGGGTGTTCGAAAATGAGTTAAAGCCAACAAAAATTGTTCGTTCACGGAGTGTTGCAAAAAAAATGGTGGCCACGTTTGTCTCCAAAACCGGCCATGTTACGACTATTCCTCTTGAGGGACAAAGAACGGTTAATGCAGAATGGTATGCTAGCATTTGCTTGCCACAGATCGTTTCTGAACTCCGTAAAGAGAACTGCAACCGCCGCATCGTCCTCCATCACGACAATGCGAGTTCTCACACCGCACACAGAACAAAAGAGTTTTTAGAGCAAGAAAACATAGAATTATTAGACCATCCGCCGTACAGCCCCGACCTAAGCCCTAATGATTTCTATACTTTCCTTAAAATAAAGAATAAATTGCGTGGACAGAGATTTTCATCACCTGAAGAAGCTGTGGACGCCTACAAAACGGCCATTTTGGAGACCCCAACTTCCGAATGGAATGGTTACTTCAATGATTGGTTCCATCGTATGAAAAAAATGTGTCAAATTTCGCGGAGAATACTTCGAAAAGCAATAAATACATTTTTAAATAGTAATGCTGTGTCACTTCCTTGATTCCCGAAATTTTCCGTACCTAGAAATTTTGTCATATTTGTACTTTTTAGGTTTTGTCCTTCTAAAATAATGTTCATTGTCTGGTATAATATGTCATTGAAATTTATAAAATAAGTTTTGTCAAGGTTTATATTAGATTATTATAGATTATTATTATAGATATTATATTATTATTTTTAAGCCATTCTATTATTGTTTTTACTGTACTATTAATGTCATTAATATGGTCTTTTAGGGATTGTTTACCATCTGTTTTCACTATTACAGATATGTCGTCAGCGAATAAAATGCATTTGTGTTTAGTTACATCCGGTAGATTATTTATATAGACTAAGAATAACAGTGGTCCCAAAACGCTGCCCTGTGGAACTCCATATTTGTTTTCTGTAAAATCTGATATGTAGTTTAGGACCACACGATTGTAGTCTGGTCTGCTTATTTCAACAGATTGTGGTCTATTTTGCAAGTAGGTTTTAATCCAACTTAAAGCAGTGCCTCTAATGCCACATTCTTCCAATAGTAAATTATGTGATACAAAATCGAAGGCCTTCGAGATGTCGAAGAAAAGATCAGTTGTATAATTATTAGCATTTAGGCATGTTAGAGTCTCCTTTACCGTATCGAAAACAGCATGTGCAGTAAATTTACCCCTCTGGAACCCATACTGACTGGGATTCAGGACATAATACTTGTCAAAGAAAGATGTGAGTTTAGTATGTATAATTTTCTCATATACTTTTGACAAAATTGGTACGAGCGCAATAGGACGGTAACTGTCCAAAATTGATTTTTTGTCTTTTTTGAACAAAGGCTTAATCAAAGAGAATTTAAGTTTATAAATAATATAATATACCAGAGACCATTGATAAGTTTATTAAAAATGCGAAGTCCCTGCCTATTTCTATCCCCGAAACATTTTATTCCTAAAATATACAAAATTCCTCACGATGTTTTCCTTCACGACACTGGTATCATGATGTGCATAAACTCATTTTTTTAACCAGTTACACTAGTGTGTTCTTTGCACGTATGGAACCCGCACCAATCACTGACTATTGATCGAACAATCATCCAGCCGGGCAGCTCAATCTGTTGCCATCCCGAGCGTCATCAGATATCTAGAAACAGACAAAACTTTTGCTACTCATGTGAGGATGAAGATACACTCATAATACGTTCTGGTAGTCATACACGTCATAAATAACAAACTTTCAATAATTACTATTTAATGTAATTTTAAATCGCATTACATCTATACTTAAAACATTATAACAACAACCTACTAGATTTACTAAATGGGTGATCAATTTATTAGTTGCAAAACTGTTCTTGAATATATCATTGCTTCTAATTTCTTCATACTATCGCAATTTTTCGCAAGTATGAGTTATAATATTTGATATTTAGGATAAAGCATATAAGATTAGAGAAAAAAATGTTACGTTAACGATTTTTTAACAGATTCCTGGTAAAATGATAGGACATCACTACTTACTTCCGTAGAATATTATCGATTAGTGACATCCCTAGTACAACAGTTGAGATTTGTCATGTTGGTATGAAGTTAACTGAAATACTTTTTTTGTTTAATATATATCCTTAGCATATTTTTACAAATTTAATTAAACGAAATACTACATATTAAATATCTGCAGTTATATTGTATTAGCATAACACAATCGAAAAATATTTTTCGCAGTTGCGTAATCGTTATAAAGGTCATCACTTAGATAATTACTCTAAAACATAAATAAGCATTGTTAGTAAAATTAGTTATATATTTTGTGTTTTAATAGATTAATTCATAGATGGGAAATCATAATGAACTACCTATTGAAAACCTAATTTGCGCAGAAGCGCGCAAGTTGCGCCGTTGCTTAGTGCGCATCAGTTGGCAGCACTGTGCTGTATCCTCCAAGCCACTCGGCCGGTCGCCATTACCACGCCACCGGATCAAGAATCTGTCATCAGTGCTTAGTTTGTGTGTAAATCGTTAGACTTTTATACAGTTCTTTGTTTTTGTGTTTATAGTTCACAAACTTAAGTTAATTCCAAAATGTCGGATGAAAAAAAGGTACTTAAATTTTCGTATTATCATTTATCCCATTCACCGAAAAGCTTTATCCAACGACATGGCGTTTTTCACAAAATGTGGTTATTTCATTTCACTCATATTATAAGCCTCCTAGTTATATAGAATACTCTGCTAAAAATAAATATAATTTATTTTATTTACAGGGAGAAAGCGAACACATCAACTTGAAAGTATTAGGTCAGGATAACGCTATTGTCCAGTTTAAAATTAAAAAACACACACCGCTCAGAAAACTGATGAATGCATACTGTGATCGAGCGGTATGTATTACTTTACTGGTTATTTATAAGATAAATGCGGTAGAAATACTAACGATATTTTATGTGCTTGCACCTATTCCACCAATGTATCTTTTGAGTTGTACTTTGAAACAATTTTATTATCCTTTACCTTTGTGATTCACCTTGCGTAAACAATAATTTTCATTTACTGGATTTTTGGTCGTAAATATGCAGTTAGAATGTATCGTTACACTTTGCTGTCAATTTACTTTTAACATTTTAGCAAGGAACTATGCATCATAGCTATGCCACTTAATTGAACATACATAAGGCTTAAAGCAAAGTGCTATCGCCACTGCCCAAGTGTTGATGCCATAATTGTAAAAATTTTAGGCAAGAACATTTACCTGTAGTAACTGTTATAAGTAAATTATTTGCAAGCGTTCCATTGGATGACACTACCGGAGATGGAGTTAAACCAAATGATTGCTTCACTACCAAATCTATGAAACTAAAAGTTAAAGGAAATCAAAGGCACTGATAAACTAACATCTTATTTAAATACCCACTATGTTTAAAATAATAAGTGCAAAGTTACTAACATTAATTAGATGTAACAGAAATAACATTACTGGGCTTATCATTACATATTATTTTAAACTTTTTAGAGCTACACAGCAGGTATATTTTGGTTTTAGCCCCAATGCATTTTGATTCTTAATCAAAAGTTGATGAAGAACTCTATACTATGAGGTGGACTGTGCTTAGTTGTCTTGCCTACTCTATAAAAAAAATGTGTTTTAACTTTGCAATTTTTTTACACTGTGCTATTATATTAAAAGAAAATGTTTCATATTACTACACTATTTTGTTGCATTCCTTTTTTCACCATGCATCACTGTCTATATATATAAACCATGATTTACATATCCCACTTGCAGCCTAATTACTGAGCTGTAACCAAACATGCAACCTTTACATAGAAGTCTTGGTCACCTATCCATTGATGCTGTGTATCATCATCAATCCACTCCTTTATATTTTGTAATAAGTTTGTTAAATCTATAAAAACTTGTTACTCAATTTCGTTTTCAAGTCATTTAACAGATTTTCTCTCTACTGAGGATTCAAATTTTTATCCATAGTACGCCACAAACCTACAAAAAAACAAATAAGGAAATGGAAAAAAATTTATACTTATGTAATTACACTTGTGGGGGACCTTAGTCTCATATCGATTCGTACCTGTTGAACTAAGCATGCTAGCCTGGTGCATGTTCCATCCCCGTGAGACCTTTAGAGGAACTGGGAATACTTGGACGCTCGACTGCGTTATGCTTAAAACACTTAAAATTCGAAAATATGTGCAGTGGGGGAGCTAAGTCCCCCACCTGTGGTGTTAAGGGTTAAACAAATAGAAAGTATAAGTAGCGTCTGCTTAGGCCCGCCACATACATACGGAATTTCGTTTCAGAATTCTGAACGGGTCAGCCACACACTTACGGAATCCCGTTTTGCCTGCAAAATTTCTAACGAAAAACTACCGTACGTGTGTTACGGGTCATAGATTTTATATAGACTTGCTGTGTTCGGAATTCCGAATCGGAATATGGAAACGGAATTCCATATGTATTTGGCTGGCCTTAAAGTATTTTACCAATCCATCTAACAAGAATTCATGTCTCGACAGGTTCAGACATACAATTTATCATAAGGCAATCCAGGAATTTAAACTTTAATAATATATTAATTTTTAGTGTTTAAGGCATTCATTGCAATGTCTTACTTTTTTTTTTTATTTGCCTACCTAGCTAAAACAAATCTTAGACCAACCTAAACTAACAACTAACCTCATCATAATAAGTTACTTCATATAACAAATATTTTCTAATCTTCTTTAAATTTGTTATATCAAGGTTTCACTGTATTATATAAAGTATTTAGAGCTGACAGTGACAATAAAAAGTAATGTTATCTACAAAACTTAAACTATGTTTTCAAGCATTACTATTTTTTGTATGTCAATTGCAGGGTCTATCAATGCAAGTGGTCAGATTCAGATTCGATGGACAGCCCATTAATGAAAATGACACACCAACATCATTGGAAATGGAAGAAGGTGACACAATAGAAGTCTACCAGCAGCAGACTGGAGGGGTGTTGCTAGTGTAATTTGTATCTTAAGGAACTGTTCATGTTCTGTGGAAAGATCGCCACAGTGTGCCCATCTCAAACGTGTTAACATTAAGTTAATTTTAATAACAACATTTGTAACTGTATGTCAGGATGAATGTGAAAGTTGACAGATGGACAATAGCACTTCCTAACATTTTTCTTTTGTGTTATTGTGCATCTTGTAACTTTCAAATTAATTTAGGTGGAAATTTGAGGTAAACCAAATGTTTTTAAGTAACTTCTACAATTATTCCAATGTGATAATTTTAGTTGACATGTCTATACAATCAGCCAGTATTTTGAATGCTGAAGCACTTAGACATTTCCAGTTTTTTTTTCTATGTGGTAAATGTAATTTATTGGACATTAGTCCATCCCATTGTCAACTCTAACTGATGTACCTATCTGAAATAAAGCAACTGTATTAATTTTAGTGGTTTTATTATTTTCTATTTTTACCATATTTTTTTCATAGTCATAGTCAATCTGATGATATTAATAATAAATTTCATCTGATTTTATATTTGTATTATGGGTAACCTTAGTATACTATTAGTTGTTTCTATTTTAACATTTTCACTTTCCGGTTTTCAGACACAATAGTAAGAGAGCAAAGACCTATATGTAGTGCACGGGACAGCGCAAGGGTTAAAGCTGCATCCTTTGTATTTTTTGTAGACTGTCACATTTACAAGCACCATACAATTAAAATCTGCATGACCTTTCTATGGCGTTTAATAGATTTAAGCATTTTTACAAAATTCAAAGTGCAGTTCAAAATCAATTGAACTCTACCTACTGTTTTGATATGATTCAATGACCAATATTTGCTATGATTCTTATATAATATGCATTTGATTTAAATATTTAACACACTAAGCTCAAGTCTGGTTGACGCGACATAAAATCTGTGCTTATTGCTAATATGCAGAGCAATATTACACTACTTTTTTGTCACTTGGTCTTGGGATTTTACTTTTTTTACATATCAAAGACGCGTAAATATTCGACATGAATATGTACATACTTCAATTGTTTTATATTTAAAATAATTTGATAGTACCTATACACGTGTAAGTATATTTAGATTAACTTCAAATACAAATTTGTACTAAAAAAATTCCTTTACAAGAAACTGCTAGGCAGAGATCTCTACGTTATGGAAGTATTAGTCGACCGTGTTGCGCCATGCGTGTTCGCGGAAATATTTTATTCTTTAGATGTACAGCAACCAAGTTAGCCATCATTCTGCCGAACAAGCCGTCCTCAGAGACTGTCATATAGGAGGGAGAGTTGACAGTAAGCGCGCCGAATACATCCACCACAGCCTTTAAAAAACGTCAACTAATAGATAGACCACCGTAGATTGCCTCATATGGGAGTTTCTGCTTTAGTGCCACACTCGTTAAGCGGGTTGGCAACAGCAGTTTTATTATTTTGAGTTATTTTATCGAAGATGCTGCTTTGCATGTTTCAATTTCACTCTGACACCAATGGTACGATAAGGGTTAGTGGATAGTTTTAAACCGCCACTACATGGCGTTGAACTAGGGGTAAAAAGAAAGAAAAAGGAAAATGAAAAATTACAGTAGGATATTATATACTACCCCCGATTTTATTTTGATCATTGAGTTATATAGTACATATAACTCAATGATTTTGATTGGTTGTGAGGGGTTGCGTATAGGTATCTATATAATATTTAAATAACATATAAAGCAAGTAAGATATACAGCCGGCTTCATAATATTATGTACATATATTAATATTGTTGCTTGATTTGCTCTGCTTTATCTAATATATACATTTATTTTATTTTCAGCAAACACCGCCCAGTATGCTCATTATGTATTCAATACTTTGGATCAAGACAGAAGCGGGCTGTTAAGTTTTGAGGTAGGTATTTATTTTATTATGCCGTGTGGTGGCGGCGTAAGATGAACAATCATCATTCCGTTAATGTCGTAAGTAGGGAATATGGGAAATGCTAGAAAAAAATAATATGCTTATAGCTTCGGATAGATGGCGATAAAACCATCACGCTTACACCAGACGTAAAAGGCGGTCCATATCCAGTGGTGTCCTTTTACGGGCCGTAAAATAAGAAAAAAAACGTGTGTGTGTGTACCACGGAATATAAAGAAATGTTATATTCCGTGGTGTGTACTTATTTACGCACGTAGGAAGTTATACTTCTTTAGCGTAACAAAACAAAAATAACTACCTTAAAGATAGTTATCAGTTCCCACGAAAATTTGAAGAGACAGTTACCCAATGAAATTGTCGCTTTGAGCTGTCAGCGTGCGCACGCATCGTAACAACTTCATGGTGTCGTTTTTAGCTGTCGGCGTGCGCGCGCATCGTATAAAATTCTCTCATAATTTTTCCCAAACGCCCCAAAAGAAGTATAACTGCAAAAATATTTATTTTATAATTTAATAGGTCTTTACTTATGAGATTTTGAATAATTTTTTTTAAATTCATTTGAAATAAAAATACTTTATTTTGGCTATGAATTCTGATTTTATTTTAAAAACCTGTAATTCTTTTTTTGCAAAATTAGTCATTTGTTTATTGATTAGCGTTGTTTTCATCGCATTTGCATCTTTTTCTTCATCATGGATACGTTAAAATTCGAGTTTCGTTATCGTTAAAATTCGATATTAGTAAAGTGGCAGCAACGCGACACAAGCGGCACGCAACATCAACGACGTTTACGGAGCGAATAAGTAGTACAAACCACGCACCACCTGCTATTGGTTTGCCCGCTTCCGTTATGGGAATTTCGACCTGAAAAATGAACCTTAAAATAGTCGTCAGAAAACTTTACTCGACAATGACGAATTAAAAGCGATTGTGGAAGCATCAAAACAATATTGGTCCATTTGCGTCGAATTGGCAAGGTAAAAAAGCTTGACAAATGGGTGCCCCACGAACTCAATGATCGCCAGCTCGCAAGTACGCGTCGAAATGCCTTGCATGAGCAGTACAAGCACACAAACGAAGGAATTTTGAACAGCATTGTTACCTGGGACTAAAAATGGATTCTGTTTGACAATCGCAAGCGCTCAGCAAGTTGGTTGGATCTTGTTTCAGCACCTAAACAATGCCCTAAACGAAAACTTACACCTAGAAAAGTAATGGTCACTGTTTGGTGGTCTAGCGCCGGTGTGATTCATCACAGCTTCTTACCAAAAGGGACGAGCATTACTGCAGATGTGTACTGTGAAGAACTGAACACGTAACAATAATGATATTGTACGCGGTAGAGCCATGCTGCAGCTATATTATTAGAATATTTGTAGCACGAATGGGTCGACTCGACCGGGAAGGACCACGCTCTCATAGAATACCAGCGTAAAATAGCAGCTTAACACTGATGTGTTTCGTATGGTAAGTGTCGAGAACCGGAGACTCTTTTTACTGGAAAAGGGGCATTCCATCTTAGTCCTCAGGGGTGACAACGCATCTGCATTTGGATTATTTACTGAGGATAGATGTAGATGTCTCTGGGGTCACAGCAACCATTTACCATCAGGACTGTGTGCTCGTTTGTCACCCTATCCTATGAAAAAAAAAGCTCGCACGTCTCTAACCAGCGTTGGTCAATCGCTCGTCCCCGCTGCTCCTGCACGACAACGCCCGTCCTCATACTGCACAACAGACGGTCTTCAAGAGCTGGGGTTGGAAGCTCTCTGTTATCCGCCGAACTCACCAGACCTTGCGCTTATAGACTTACTTTTCTAGAATTTGGATAACTTTTTAGCGGAGAAAAAATTCAATACCCGAGTGGCAGCTCAAAATGCCTTTAAACAATTTGTTGCGTCTCGTCCAGCTGTTCTCTTGAAGAAGAGTATCAATAAACTGCCACTTCGTTGGCAAAGATGTATCTATTGCATGGGTGATTACTTGATTAATAGAAATAAAAATTTCGTTAACTTATTTCATAAAAACGGCAATTTCATAGATAAAGACCTAATAAATCTAAAGAAAAACGTCAAATAAGTATGTTTTTTGGTGGGATAAGGTCGGGGTTGACATTAAAATTCATGATATATTTGATGTGATGTATCAAAACTTGTATTATAATGTTTGAATCGTCATCGTATGTAAAAACCTAAAGAAAATAACAACAACAAAAATCTCTAGCTACGACATAATATATAAGTTATCTCGAATATTCTCAATCTAAATCACCGAGAACAATGTTAATTGCTCTGACTTGATAAAGCAATCCCCTGAGTCTGACGACTGATTGCTGGTGGATAATCCATCCAAAAATGCCAAATCCTCCATGGTAATCCAATCCCAATACGTGTGACTCATTACTTGCCTGCCCAGCGTGGTGATTATTGACATTTTCTATGTTCAGCAATGGATTTTAAAAGGGTTGACGATGCTTTAGGTATAAGGTAAAGGTCTTTATGACCTTTAACGAGGAAAAAACCACATTGCGGTAAGCCTAGATGTAAATTTTAAGGTAATCCTCCATAAGAAGTACATTATATTTATTGCCTTGATCGTATTTTAAAGGTGTTAAAATTAATTGGGAATCCGCATGAAAAATTAGCTAATTGAATCTGACATCTTTAATATAATGGATTTCCGTTTTCCGCAAGATAACTCTGAATTCCAAAGATCTATACCTACTTCTAGACCGGCAATTCAGAACAAAAACTGTGTCACAGTTGTAGTATGCGCGGGACGTCGGCGGGGCGGCTAGCTGGCACGGTAAATATGCCACGCAATTGTATTTTGATTAAAATCTGTTACTGTTTTTATGCAAAAACGAAATAAAGTTACATACTTATCTGAAATAAACTTTAAAATGACGTGACAAAGTGCGCACATAATGACAGTGTTTTAGTCACGTTCAACAAAAAAAAACAGTGTTAGATAGTTGAAAAGAACGTTCGCGGTTTACAAAACAAAGAACTAGTCTTCTCACCCGCTCGCAATCGACTAAAGGAGTTACGGAGAATTGACCGTAACTTAGTGCGCAAATTATTAATACCGTAGTGCCCGTCTATTACCTAGTATACATAGAAGTCTGCTGGATTCTATTTACTGATCGTATTTTACAAATAAACAAAAAAATAGGAAAGAAATATAAGTATTAAAATTTTATTACAGGAATTCGTTACCGGTTTATCAATATTATCTAGAGGAACATTGGAGGAAAAACTGCGCTGGACGTTCTCCCTGTACGATATAAATGGGGATGGATTCATAACTAAAGAAGAGATGACTGAGATAGTAGCGGCAATTTACGATCTTATGGGAAAAATTGTAGAGCCAATGATTGATGATGAAGCAGTTCGAGAGAAGGTGGAGCGGCTATTTCAAGTAAGAACTGAAAACAAAATAATATTTTTTGGTTCATTTGTATTCAGCGAGCGATGAGCACCACGCGGACCGTGTAGTGGCGGTGTAAGACATCCACTACCCCATATCATCCCGTGGGTGTCGCAAAAGGCGACAGAAGAAAAAAATCAGAGCAGCCTCTCCCTAATAACAACTAAAAATAAAAAACTGCGGTTGCCAACCCGCTTGCCAAGCGTGGCAACTATGGTAAATATCCTCTTATGAGGTAATGAGGCAACGGTTACGGAGCACCATGCGGTGGATTGTCGCTTTATATTCATGGATACATATCACACTAATTTCTCTCGGACAGTCGTTCTTTAGACGTGAATCAATTTTTAACCGACTTCGGCGTTGGCCAAGACGTTTGCGCAGCATTGTGTTGGCAGAGTAAGATCTCATTAGCGAGTTTCGTTTTACTAATAATAATTACTTACCCAAAATATTTTGCTAAAATAGAATGTTAACTGAGTCATGTTCAGTGTACTATACCAAACAAAATTTATATTAATTTAACTACCTGTGTATAACGTCTGCTACTATATTGTCTGGATAATTTTGATCTTTTAAATATATATTTTATATAAGTCTAATCTATCATCTTTTAAATTATATTGAATATTATATCTATCAAAACGTTTTTATTTGCAGAAAATGGATTTAAACCGTGACGGTGTCCTAACTCTCGACGAATTTCTAGACTGCTGCCTCCGAGATGAAGGTATTTCTCGGTCCATGGGCGTCTTCGACAGCAACTTCTGACGGGGTCCGGATGGCGAGAGACCTGTTTCTCGTCACGCTCCATAACAAAATTTTATTACAGAAATTTAACAAGGTGTGTTGTGTGCAAGATTTGTAAATTTACCTTTAAAATCTAAACAATGCTATTTAAAATTACCAATTAAGCATATAAAAAAAGATTATTATTAACTGGCATAGCAGGCAAATATTAAAAGCGATCATAAAAAATAGGAATATTAATTGTGTTATCAGTTTAAAAAAAACATGTGTTATACTAAATCTATGGTTTTGTGCATAACTTTTTAACAAAATTGGTACAGTTTGATTGTCATCAGAAACACACCACCCACTGTAATTGCAATTGCCAATCACGAAACGGATTTTACTAGAACATGTCTTATACTAAAAAGTCTTCTATATTTATTTTAAGTTTTATTTCTAAAAAGTAGCTTAAAAATGCTTCTAATAGTTAATTTTTGAAAGGTTATAATAAACGATCTCAGTAAAACTTAATATATAAGTGTACAATAATACATGTTGTGTAGATGTTGTCTTTTACGAATAACCTTTTGACACTATTAACGTTTTAGACACAGCCCTAACCTAGCCTAGCTTAAATGTTATAGCGGGTGTGTTCCGCACATATACATCGCGAGCTCTGCTCAGTGCTCTCACTGTTGAAAAATTCGTTCCGTTATGCACTGCCCACAGAACACAATTACTCTACCGAGATGGACTGCCAATATATTGCCGCAGTACCCTAGGGAAATATATAACGTCATAAATCGCCGCCATTTTTGTACTGTGAGCACTGGCGCTTTTGAGGTAAGGTGCTTTCAATACTTTGATCACGTGATTAAAAAATGATAGCGCTTAGAAATTTAACAGCTTCCACGAATGATGTTATTATGAATAATATTATTATTTAATATTGTTATTGAAATAAACTCGGACATTGTTTTAAAAGCAATAACATTTAAATAATAATTTTTCTTGTTGAACAGAAAACGTGTACATGATAAATATTTTCATTTGAAAACAGTGTCGAAAAATGGGGATGACAGTATACAGGACTGCGTTCCGTTCTAAACAGTAACCAATATAGCAAACTAAAAAGGAATGGCTTCACTTTATACTGATTTGACGTCACACCTTACAATGGTTACAGTATATATCGGAACACACTCAGCATAGGTCCGAGTAATCGTATACTTATTGACTTAAATAATGTAAAATTGATAAATTATATCACATAAAAACAATAAATAATATGTATTATTTAACGTTTAATTTTTGGCAGTTAAAACAGTAAATATTTTCAACAAATTAATGGCAGTTCACATTTTATGTCCTCCTAATATTAACAAACCGTTGTTTGTTTATTTTTTCCTTGTGAAAACTTCATCTTTATTTTTGAATTGTTCCGGCCATTTTTAATAGAATAAATAGATTAACGTACTGGTTTAAGATATATATAATGATAATTTTGTCATTTTTGTATAATATTTAGCTGAATAGACCAAGAGCCATATTTTGTACCTAAATCCTAATGTTTCATGTTATTCATAGACTTAGTACCTCTAACGATGTTATTGAGAAATTGCTTATTGTCTCTTTGTAGTCAAAAAATTACCCGATTACTATAGATAGTACCTATATATACAACAGCTACATTCTATACCAAAGTTAAACACTGCCGTTATATGAAACATTGCATGCTTAAATCTGGTTAAAAGAAATATCTTATATTTCACCAATTAGTATGCATAATAAGAATTTGATGTCCAGATATTTATAATTTCAAAGATATGTACGACAAAAGCTATAACGTATTCTTGTATTTGTATACTAGTACTTCTAACTACACATTATTGCAAAATTCGTAACACAACTTAATTTTTATTTTAACAATATTGCTAACAGAAATATAGATTTTATAGGAAAATATCACATTGTAAATATTTTACTGTTCCTATGAGTTGTAGATTTAAATATATATATTTTCATAGTAAGTGTTAAATGGAACCAAATAACTAGATGACATAAAAGTTTATATTATAAATATCTTATTAAATAAGGTGCGTACGGGTAATAAGGCCTAAGTAACAAAAATCATATTTATAACTAGCAGTTCCGCGCGACTTCGCCCGCGTGAAATTTAGGGTTTTAATTATATTGCGCGGAACCCTAACTGTTTTTCTAAAATATGAGTAGCCTAAGTTACTCCTTATAACATCAGCTATCTGACAATGAAAGTCCCGTCGAAGTCGGTCTAGTCGTTACGGAGATTAGCCAGAACAAACAGACAGACAGACAGACAAAATTAAAAAAAATGTGTTTTTGTTATAAGTACCGTATGTACCTTCATATACATTTAGTAAAAAGTTGTTATTCTGACATTACAAACAGACCCTTCAATTTTATTTAGGTATTTGTATGGATAACCGTACTTGCTTAAGGAGTTAATAACAGACTCCTATTGCACGGTAATGTGTCCACAAGTTTGCAGAGACGAGCCACCCCGCGTCCTGCCACCACAGTTACTAAGATACGACCACACTGCACCAATAATAAAAATCAGTCCAAATAAATGGTAGGTATGTTTTGTAATTACACTTAGCTATCTAAAATCATAATTTTTATTCTTTATCTTTATGATTAAATGCTTTGTTGATCTTGAAGATTTGAGTAACGTATCGTGGTCAATTTATTTTTAATTTTTCTTAAATACTTGGTCGGTGGTTATTTAGGCCTACTAAATTTCACCATAGGCCTTATTATACTATTTTTTCTTGTGTACTTCTTTTCGTTTTATTATGAATTTTATATTACTTAATGATTTCTTATATTTACGGATAACTTTTACGGATTAGTTTTATTCAATGTTTTATATTACTTTTAAAATATTATAAATGCAAATAAATCGTACCTTTTATTATTAAACTAATGTTGAAGTCACAAAGGCCTGGTTTCAGCTGTCCAAACAGTGCAAACACAAAGTGTGTCGAAGAATTAAGGCTTTGACATTAGAAGCTATTAAATTATATGTAAATTATTGGTCCTGCGCTTAAGCTCTCTCAAACCGTGTTGGATTGCGATTTAACGATTGTGAGGGAATAGAGAGTGGACCTGTGCTTGCGCATACATTCACATACAGTAATTCTGTACTGTGGTGATGGGCTAGTCTCCGTTGAGACTGGCCGCTGTAACAGAAATTTGGTTAGATGGACACTCAACTCAACAATAAACCCAATTCTCAACTCAACCTAACACTCAACTCGAGACACAACTGGCGCATTGACGATATTCACGAGAAGTGAATTTCTTTGTCAGCTTGTTCATCATTATACTAATGACTTTAAGTACTGTTAGGCGAGGCAATTTATATATTGCTGCATTCATGTGGTTATTGATGGCAAATATTAAATATATTACGTATAGTTTGATTATTTGAGTTCGTTAAAGCAGTAGACCTTATTTCCCTACCATAGTAAAATAAGGCCTATTAGCGAGGTTTTTAGAAATGTTCAATTTTGTTTTTTTTTTTCGGCGAATGTTACAATTTTTCGTTCAAACTTTAGAGAAACTGTACTAAATAATTGATTTTTATTAAAATCTGTAGACCAAATTAGATATTTCAGATTTTATTTTCGATTTTCCCTTAGGGCCTTATTACCTGCAGGTACCTTACGTAAGTTTTGTCCTGCAACCACAAAATAAATATACAAGTAGTTTGTATGATTTCTGTGTAATTGTATAGTGATTAATTAAGAACTAAACAGTTTCCTTTCGTTGTAAAATTTGAAATTTTATTATCGGTCGAGCTTTTTAAGTGTCTTCCTGATAAAAATATGTTTCATGTTTCACCGGATTATTAATGTTAACCACCAAGCCCAGCAAGGCCTCAGTTATTTTAAATAAAAATAGGTTTAATATTAACTTAAAAAGAGTATAGCCATATAATATATATACATAAATCAATGTCTTATGATTAAAATATATGTGTATGATAATTTGATAAAAATCAACATAAATAGTTACGTAGTTATATTATGTATATACGTTAATACGTCCTTTGATAATTTATTTCTAACAAAATATTCTTTTATATTTTGCCGAGAGTATTTCTCCTCTTAACTATTAAATTACTTAATATTAATATTCTATTAATGTAAACATAGGGGTTTTTTTCAGTTATACCTATTGACAATTTATCTAGGTTTAAAAATAATATGTTGTAGTATATTGTTATTCAAGTTACGAATTATTCTTTACACCCCTCAGATCAACAAAGAAAGGAAGACGGGGCGCTGCCTCCATTCTAAGTGACGCAAAAACGAAGTCAAAACCATGCTGCATCATGCATGCATGCATCTAAAATTATTTGAAACTATTAAAATTGTTTCAGGTGCATATGTGTGACTCTTATAAAATACAGTGCGTGCATGTGCGTACGTGTACGTGTCCGTCCAGAAGTTGAACATGGTTTCGACATTACTTGAAATGTACGCAGCGCTTCGTCTATCTTCTTTGTTTGTCAGAGTTACACGCTCACTAACCTATTAACTCCTTTTTTTTTAAAGATTATATTGGTTTTAAAAATGATAACTATTCGAGAGTCCAAAGCATAATCCCTACGTTTAGTTGAATTATGCCTTGTGATCGGCGGTGACGACAATAAATCTACATCACCAATATAATATGACTGTGTTATCTAACTCGTAACAACCAACCTTTACACATCTGATTCTACTACTTTGAAGTACTCTTAGCATCTGCCATCTTTTTTCAAGAATATGTACACGGGAGTCCGGTTTGTAGTTCAAACGAGTTCACAACAGGCGAACCATTGTAAACTCATTTGTAGTTGGACGGTCGGGATTGTATAAGGCCAGCATAGTATAACTTCTTTTTTAATTGCTGTTGCAGAAATAAATAACATTTCAGTATTAGTGCCAAAAATCTTCCCGAAATGTATTACTGAAGTTGTTTAAATTTAGAGATTAAATTGAGAAACATCT